CTGGGAGGAATGCTAAGCGGGTACACGTTACTTAGAGCTAAAAGGATCTTGTGGAGAGATAGGATCGCCCACGTCTAGGACGCGGCACACAAGAAAAGTAATCTCTTCAGTGTGTTCATGACGTGCCAGTGGGTGGGCGGGAATATTGTTCTTTGCGGAGATAAATAGGTGTCATCGAGTAAGAAGAGTTTATTTCAATTTTCCCCCTTACAGAAAGGCATTTTAGTGAATCAACTTATTTAAAATTTTACTTTAAACAGAAAGCAGAAGGAAATAATTCTGATTCTTTTGTCTGTAGATAATGATTTGTCAAAATGCAATTCCAGCAAGCAAGAATAAAAGAACATTTATTTATATGTTCAATACTTGATTATTTTTTTTTTATTTTTATTTTTTTTATTTTAGTCAGGTGTTCTATTTCACTTGCATTTATTTAGTTCATTCGCTTTTTCATACCCGGATTTTTCTGTTCAATTCTTTTGTTGTTTCCCAGTTTGTTTATATTATATATATATATATATATATATATATATATATATATATATATATATATATATATACGGACGAGGAAAGACGGATTGTGAAGAGAGAAATAAAAGAAAAACAATGCGAGACAGTGTATAGAGGAAGAGAGAAGTGAAAAGTAGCAGTTAAAATACGTTTACTTTATGAAGGATTTCATTTCCTTTCTCTCTGTGTAAATAAAGCAACTGATTTAGAGAAGAAATGCATAGCTTAACGGCAAAGCGTTGGGCTACGAACTGCAAGATCTCTAAAACTTTTCTAGTTGCTGCATTTGAAAATTTGCATCGCTACCTCAGAGTGTATGACTGCTGGATCTCTTTTTTATGTGCCGTGACCTTTCAGGACGTAGGCGATCATGGCTCTTTACTTCCCTTGTAAGCTCTCAATAAGTTTCGTAAGTCTGCCACCTCCACCAGACCACGTTCTGTCATCCACTTGCTTCAGCCCAGCAGGTATCTCATGCGTTGCTTTCCCTTGTCTCTTTTTCCCTCTATTTGCCCTGAGTGTATCAGATTCTCCAGACCCTCCTTTCTCATTATGTGTGCCAGAAATTTCATCTACCTCTTCCTGATGTGAAGTATAAGCTTCCTACTTGATGGCACCCGCTCTAAAATCTCATCATTGTTCACACGCTCGGTCCATGATATCTTCAGCATCCATCTATAGAACCATAACTCCTTTGCCTTGAGTCTCTTCTTCATCTTTGAGGAGACCGTCCAACACTAGCGATCGGATAAGACGGACGTCACGTAGCAGTTCAGTACGCTTTTCTTTGTTACCAAAGAAATCATCAGGTCTCGCAATACTCTGCCCAGCTTTTGGAATGCATCCTTGGTCATCCCAATATGTCTTCGGATCTCAGCGTCGGACATCCTCCCCCCGTGAAAACACTGCTGGTTACCGACCCCGAAAAGTTAAAGAGATATTTAAATGCAACATCAATCGCCATCTTTTATCTTATTGAATCCCGTTTATATTTTGCCCTTTCCTCAGTCCTTATAATACTCAGTCTTTTCTCTCACTTTTACTCCCTGTAACCCCCACTACACACCTGCGTACATTGATTGGGGCGAAATGATTAAAAACAAACAAACAAATCGAAACAATATATATATATATATATATATATATATATATATATATATATATATATATTGATGATATCTCCTGACGAGGGACAAAGCGATTTCTAGATGATCTATCTATGAAACTATGAGTCGGGTTGCTTAAGGGAAGGTAAGTGACAAATTTTATATTTGTATTAATTTATATATATAATATATATATATATATATATATATATATATATATATATTGTCGTCCGCAGAGAGACTGATTCGCTGTATGATAGCTCTTCATTGTGGCTACATGTCCCATTGCTTCAAGTCGGGATCGAAACCCGACGGATTTGGCATCTTAACTACAAATGTCCTTTTTGATTCAATTTCCAATAAAATTTAGACGTAACTCACATGTTTGGTCCATGGTATTCTCAATATCCTTCTGTAGAACACATTTCTTTTCTGTTTAGTCTATCCAACATTCACTGCCATATAATACAACCAATATCAGTTCAGTAGTCGTTGTATCTAACGAAATTTTGCGATATATAATCCCTTGTTGTGTTATTCAGTGTCCTATGAGACAAAAATGACAATTACTTGATAAATATGCAGACATGGGTCTGGTTTAAGTGAGAGTTGAAAAGACGTATACAAGCCCGATTTACATTAGCTGCAAATAGGATAAAATAATAAATAACACTAACATCTCATTTTAACAAATATATTAATCAAATTAACACAAAAATATCTTCAAATACTAAAGAGTAAATTTATTCAGTAAAAATCACCATCGGCTTCAACCACGAACTCCAGAGGACTTATGAATCTCCTGCAACTCTTTTGGATTGTGTCCTTGTTTAAGTTGGTGAATGCTGTCGTAACCCTTGCCTTCAGCTGATCATTGGTGTTGCAAGGAGTTTTGTTGTTGGTCTCTCGCTCAAGTGCGTCCATACATAATTGGGGGTTGCAGTTTGAGGAGTTAGGTGGCCAGATGTAAGTTATGATGTGGTCGCAGAAATTATCTGATAGCGATGACTGGGTTCTCCTGATTGTGTGTCTTGGTGCTGTGTCCTTTTGCCAGACATAGGGTCTTCCAGTAGCCATATGGCACAGGGCAGCGCTACCTCGTCAAGGCACTTGTAGGTCTGCGTGTTGAGACTGAGGCTCTCAGCAACAAATTTGGGAGTCCTTTTCTTATAAAAACGATCAGAGTGATTTCTTTCGAGTTGCTGTACATTCGTAATCACCATTAAATTCATCCAACTCTTTCTGAATACTCTGCATTATGCTCCGCCTTGGCATCTGGGACTTCAAAATACGCCGAATATTTACCACTGCAGAAGGGTAAGGCAACTGCCACACACTCACACACAACGAGGCGTCCTGTGTAAGACAATAAACTACATCCGGCAGCAAAGCCTCTGACCTGAAGGATTTGAGAAGCGTGGAATCACCTCTTAATTGCAATGCAGTAGCGAGAGGAGAGCCACGTTTCGATTGTGAGGATAGGATTGAAGAGTGGGAAACGATTCATCATCCATAAAGCCGTGTAGACCCTTTCAAACTGGCACAAGTTTTTATTCTTTCCATTTCATTTTTCTACTTCATTTGTTTACCATAGATCCTTTTTCATTTCCGAGGAGTGAAATCGCTTGATAATGAACGCACCAGTCAACAATTACTGAACGGACGTGGATTTTAAATTAAGCCAGGTCTTTACACTCTTTACCACAAACAGTAACAGTACCACCGTGGTTTTCCGAGTGACTTTTCAAGCCATCACACATTCACTACAATTCAGTGGTCGGCAACATTTTGCTGATTATATGCCGACTTAGGGTTTGAAAATCATTCAGTCTGCCAACAGTAGACATATTTTTATACAAGTCAATGTTAATATACCTGTTCTACAATATATTTTACATAGTAATATATGGTATATATAATTTAGTATATATTAAAATTGAAATAGCTAAATATATTTTCTGCGTTGTAGTAGTTATTGGTTCGGACTTCGTGATGTTATTTGCGGCTGCGTTCTACTGGAAATTGCTTGGCGTACCACATTAAAATTATAAGGCAATTTCTTATCCTTTCATTTATATATATATATATATATATATATATATATATATATATATATATATATATATATATATATATATATATATATATCCGCTTTGCGAAATATCTGATTAGCTTCTTCTTCTATGTGGCTGTGCCTTCAGGACGTTGGCGATCATGGTTTTCTACAATTTCCTGTTCCTTTTTATTTTTATTTTTTAATTCTACATGTTTGTTATCACTCCTAACCTCTAAAATGACCTTTAATTGTAATATAATGAGACCTAACCGCCAATTTAGTGCTGTCATTAGATTCGGAAAGTCTAGATACCAAAGAGGATTCAGTCTTTCTACTAGAATGGATTCCAATCAAAGTCAGATTACTTTGTCTACTCCGCCATTAACTACTGCTATTTGTGAAGTAGTTTCATTTTTATTTTAATCATTTCACCCAAAGCAAGGTCACCAAGCCACAAGCATACAGGGGGGTTACCGAGTGTGAAATAATATAAAAAAAAGAAAACATTAAGTAGAGAAAACAATAAAAGAACAGAAATTAAGGCGACAGAAGATATCAGTTGACATTGTATTTAAATTTATGAAGGTCAAAGTTGACTGGGAAGCAAATAACTGGAAGAGAAGCGAGAATTACGAGAAACAAAAACTATTATCTTAGAACTTGCAGTTGCATCAAGGAGCCATTTCAACTATATATGATGAGATCTTGCACCAATCTAGTACTGCTCCTACATTCATAAAGTCTTGGCGAAGACTTTATGAATAGCGAAGAGTTCCTCTGAGCAGTTATTATGAAAGTATTTATCGAAAAGGCAGAGGGAAGCAATATTACGGTGATGACTGAAACCAAGTCAGGACCGATGTCACTGCATATTCTTCTTTAGATTTTATCAATGATCTGTAAATATATGGCAGTGGCACCAGACCATATGTGGCAATTATATTCTAAGCATGGACGAATGTTAGACTTTTAAATATTTTAGATAAATTCGAGTGAGAACAATTATCTAGCACGACTCAATGAACTAGCTTCTTAGCCGCAGACTTAGCAATTACCTCGATATAATATTTCCACTTCATGTCAACAGAAAATGTTAGCTCGAGAAGCCAGAACGAGTCACTCTCCTGAAAGTTAATATCAGCCATGCTGATTGAAGGCAGGAAGGGTTCTGTCAGGCGATTAATACAAAGCAATTTCGTTTCGGTGTCGTAAAAATTAGGAAGCCATTCCTTGGCCCATTTAACAAAAGACTGTAGATCATTAGCTGCTAATTTTACTTTATCGAACCGACCAGTCTTAATATTAAGAAAAATATATAGTTGTGTCACTACTAAAAGAGTAGATATTCACTACGCAAGAGACAAAAACGCAGATGTAGGAACGTTTTGCACGAGAGACAAAAAGAGAGAAACGTGTTCGTTTTACACGAGAGACGAAAAGGAAGCCGCGGGTCCGTTTTACACGAGAGACGAAAAGGATGACGCAGGTCCGTTTTACATGAGAGACGAAAAGGAAGCCGCTGGTCCGTTTTACACGAGAGACGAAAAGGATGACGCAGGTCCGTTTTACACGCACAAACGAAAAGAAAAACGCAGGTCCGTTTTACACGAGAGACAAAAAGTAAGCCGCCATTCCGTTTTACACGAAAGACGAAAAGGAATCCGCGGGTCTGTTTTACACGTTAGACAAAAAGGAAAATGCGGGTCCCTTTTACAAGCGAAACAAAAAGAAAGCCGCGGGTCCGTTTTACACGAGAGACACAAAGATAAATATATCTGAGAAAACTGGGGATTTGACAGAGTTGCAACATATTTCTGCTTTTCCCTTGAGTAAAATACGTGGACATCCATACTCCTTATAGCGGATGAATCTTTTATCTCTTTAGGGATGGAGTCGGTGTATACTTAACTCGGTGACAGCGAAATCAAAACTTGAAGGAATTACTTTTAGTAAAATATGTTTAGAATCTGAAATAACACTTTATATTTGCTATGAATGCCACCTAGCTTATTAGGCTATTAAATTCGACATATATTTTCCAGATGCATATTACACTTTGTCACTAATATTGAGGTCCTTGAAAAGGTGAATATCACCCCCATACTTCTGAAGTCCCAGCTACGCTGGGCTGGACACGTTTCCAGGATGGAGAATCATCGCGCGCTTAAACTTTTATCGTACGGCGAGCTCTCTATCACGATAGAGGGACGCCAAAGAAGCGATTCAAAGATTGCTTGAAAAAAATCTTTTGGTGCCTGTCACATAAACCATTGCCAATGGTCAACCCGAGCTGAGAACCGTGACGCTTGGAGTCTCACTTCTAACCATGCTGTCTCCTTCTTTGAAAATACCTGCAGGGCCGCTCTCAGGGACAAGAGACAGGAGGAGGAAGTACTGCAATGTTATGCCATCGAACCCAAGCCGGTCTCTCAGCTGCAACTACTGCAACCGAATATGCCTGTCCCACATTGGACTTATCAGTCACAAACGTGCCTGCAAGCGACATGTACAGATTCCCTCGTGATCTTCGTTTTGCAAAGCCATGATGACATTTCAAATTAAAATATATACGCGTATTTTATAAACATGCGGCGTTTTTACAGAACTCGACAGCTTCGTAAACTATATTTTATGTGTACTTTAATTCATGTATAGGCATATGAGATATTTTATAAGCATTTTGAAAATTCCTGCTGAGAAATATGTTTTATTTCATGCCTGTTAGAAATAAAATGAAGTCACATGAATCATATACAAAGACGCGTCAAGATATGTTTCAGCATATATATAGATTCATGTACATTTTACACATAGATACATAATTATATATGAATACCTGCACGCCCTCTCCCAGGCACAAGAGGCTGAGGGGAAAGTGCTGCAATGCCATGCCATCGACCCCAGGCCGGACTTTTAGCTACAACTGCTGCGACCGTGTATGCCTGTCCGGCATTTGACTTATCAGTCACAAACGTGCCTGCAAGCGACGAGTACAGATTCCCTCGTGATCTTCGTTTTGCGAAGCCAAGCCATGATGATGATTACACAAGAAAACGAACTGATTTGTCTGCGACAAGCGTTTTCATTCTTGTCTCTAAGAGCACAAAGTAGAGATGCGAATACTTCGACAAACGAATATCTATGCATTTACAAGATAATGTGTTTTCACTGAGCTACACAATACGTGACGTAAATGGATGCTTGAAAGAAGTCGTTTTTATTGTTTTCTAACTATTCCGCCACGAGGCACAGGTAAAATTCTTTATGATCCCGTTAGCATACCTGTGAATGTGCGTTCAGGTGTGTCATCGTTCAAAGTAGTGACTCTATAGCGCTCTATAGCGCGCTGATTGGGTGCCGTCTTAACTAGCGACCTTGACGGCAGAAAAAAAAAAACACATCTTGAGGATTTTACTTTTGATTTGTTTCTTTATTTTAGACTTTAATCTTCTGTCATTCCATGTTGTTCGTTCCAGGCAAATATCAGGTTTTCTTTAATTAACGTCATTAGACGAAGACGGGGAAGGCCTAATTATGCACGTCTTCTGTAAATATGGTCTTCTCTTCATATCTATCAACGACTCTCTTGCGGACAACTCGCAGCTTGTTTCTCTGCAGAAACACACACATGGATATATATATATATATATATATATATATATATATAATAGGAATTTAAAATTATCTCATATTCATGATCATTTCACCTTACGAGTTAACGAGCAAGGATTTTCAAACTGATCAAGGTAATAAGATAAAATAAAATGAAATCAGACCTAAAGTACAATTTAAAACAAGGCAGAGGAAAAGAAGGGAAGAAAACGGAAAAAAGGAAAAAGTAAAATAAATAATGAAAAGGCAGAGTTGGAAGTGGAAGAAAGGATGATAGACGGAGGTAAAGAAAGAGTAGTAGCGTCTAGACATGTGAATGGTAGCAGGAGACAGATATATGTAGACGTGACATTGACTTATATTAGAATATTTACCTCCGTTTCAATCAGGAAAATAGACTGGAAATTTATATGTCCTGTTAGATAAACGCATAGGATTCACTGGGTTTTATACCAACGGATTATTACCAATATATTATATATATATATATATATATATATATATATATATATATATATATATATAACCAAATAAAATAAGAACAAATGGAGTCTAATTCCACGGTCCGTAACATTTAACTTAAAAGACAGCTCAATACAGAATAGAGCCAAATATTATTTATTTTAGGATATTAAAATAAAAACATGCAGAAAATGGCAATTTTGTTTTATCACTACAAATATATCTCCAAGTGCGATGGTAAACTAATGGCGAGTGAACGATTAATTTAATTTCAAAAGCAGAATATATACATATATCCAATAAAAATGACGTTTAAATAAAGAAATCTGTCGGATTAATAAATAGATAAAAATTGTTTTGCTTCCGTTAGGATAAGAAACTGACCGTATATGTCTATTTCGAGAATCAGAGAATGAACACTGTCTTCGAGAGGTCTACAGCACGTCAGATCTAAAAAAGGGTTTTCCCCTTGCCGCAAATTTATAAAATCTAGATACCATAGAGAAAAGTTCACCAGAATAATTACCATGAATGAAAAGCACAGATGAAGCTACGTTTCGGCGGTGGGAAAGTGACTGAAGCCGAGGTGCAACGTGAGGACCAATAATATTGAAGATTCATCCTTGGATTTTATCTAGAGCAGCGTTTCTCAACCGGGGTTTCCCGTGAGCCTAAGTTTTGGCAAAAGGTCCGCAAGGGTTCCGTGAGAACAGGTGAGATAAGCTAATGAACTTTTTTTAGAATTTTTATTTAATTTCATATACGTAATATTACTAAACACACACAATATATTCTTGGTTATTGTAATATTGTAATATAGACATCATCCTATGTAACCTGTTATGGTATTAAAAATATATTAATACCAATATACTATTCATAGTAAAGGATAAAAATTTAAAAAAAAACTGATTCAGTAATTGTTTTCGTTTTGTTTACATTTATACTATAGGTATGTGATATTGGCTACTCATGTTTACTTTGACGTTTGAGTTTAGAATTCTTTTGTGTGAATTTAAACTCCCTGATGAAGTATTAGAAACGAACAATATGAAATTTATTTAGCATTACCGAAACATTTGACAAAGAAGTATTAATTTTTCTTTAAACCAGTTCTTCAATAATATATACGATGATATTTGCCATGTGAACTACGATGAAAATAAAATGAGAAAGATATGGTATATAATTTTGTTTTTGCGCAGGGGTTCCTTGAAACATGTAATTTATTTTAAGGGTTACTCAAGGGTAAAAAGGTTGAGAACGAAGGTTCAAATCCTGCACATTTTTTTTCTAACGAGATTTCTCGAACACTCAGGCCGGTAGACGAACATTGATAAATGTAGTGTTTAATAAATAAACGTGGAGTCTATTCAAATATGTGTATCCTCTAAAAATAACGTTTAATATATATATATATATATATATATATATATATATATATTATAAATTAATTGATTTAAAAATTTTTTTTTCGCTACACAGTTCCAACCATGTTTCAAAAATAGAAGCTAAAAACCCCGAAAAAAAATCATATTTTAAATCAATTAATTTATAATATTAATACTCGGTAAATTTACATTGAGCACTATTTTGTAAAATAAAAATATCTATAAGAACACCGGATTTTATATCTTACTGTTCTTTCTTTTTATTTATATTATATATATATATATATATATATATATATATATATATATATATATATATATATATATATAATTAAACCTAGAGAGCCAGACAAACCTACCAAGGTTTCACCTAAGGGATCGTCAGGGAATGCTGAATGGTTCTTGGTTCTTTTTTTTTTTATACCTTTTTCCCCCTTTGGTATTGGCTTGTTTATTTGCAAATCAATACAACGAAAGTTTTTTCTGAGCGAGTATAGTTTCTTATACTTATAAGATTTCTATTGATAATATATATATATATATATATATATATATATATATATATATATATATATATATATATATCAATATAATATGTATATATAAAGCAATCCACACTTGCTTACATTTCAAACCAGTGACAACTTATTACAATGCATTTAAACAATTGGTTCTGTTGATAGCATTTCTTTCCCTCACTCGGTCATGTATGACATCATAGAACCGCATTACGAATTTACGACCAGCGTTTGCTATTCCGCGACCGTTGTCTTCACATAGCAATCTTTTATGTAAACAAAACAGGATGTCATATTTGACGGTGAACATCTCTGTTTTAATGTTCATATAACCATATCTGATGATGGCTCATGTGAACCGAAAACTTAGATCGACGACCAATATAATAAAGAAATATCCAAAGATTGAATTGTTTTTGCCTTTATTTTCTCTTGAAACTAAAGCCATTATATGACGCTTGGAATGCATCATATTAAAGCATAATAGGCATTCATTGTCTGCTGTATTTAATAATATACATTTGAATAATAATCTCCTTCTCCCATATATATATATATATATATATATATATATATATATATATATATGTGTGTGTGTGTGTGTGTGTGTGTGTGTTGTGTGTGTGTGTAATTTCAAATATAAATATTTTTTATTAAAAGTAACGATAAGCTCAGTCTGTTTGATTTTTTATTCTATTTCTTCCAATTATCGAATAAAGTGGATAGATTGTCCGAATTTCATGTTGTCACTTTGTTTTGTTCAATCACTTTGGACCGTCAAGAACCAATGTTGTATCTTTGGCAAGAATTTTTCTTATCTATACTCACATTAAAAGAAAAGGACTGAGATTGTCGTTAATACTTGAAAAGAAAACAAGACAGCAAGACCCTTTATTTTAAGGGTTACGCAAGGGTAAAAAGGTTGAGAAAAGCTGCCTTAGGGGAACGCAGGTTCAAATCAAACCCAATAACACACTACACGAACTTACACACAACCACAGACATATATTAATTTAAGTTGGTTGCTGTTACGATATGTCAACCTACGTTGGATTATTTAATTCTAAGTTTTTCTACACACACACACACACACACACACACACACACACACACACACACACACACACACCTATTAAGGAACGAATTCAGCACTCAATCATAATGGAAAACCAGATTAAGATTTCTAAAACTTAATCTGCGCCCACAGGCTTCCGTATATTGTGGGGGTGGAGGGAAAGAATCAGTGAATGCATGAGTCATAGGCAACTGATAGATAGATAGATAGATAGATAGATAGATAGATAGATAGATAGATAGATAGATAGATAGATATAGAGATAGATAGATAGAAGATAGATATGATAGATAGATGATAGATAGATAGATAGATAGATAGATAGATATGAACAGGCAAGGATAGATAGATAGATAGATAGATAGATAGATAGATAGATAGATAGATGAACAGGCAAAGATAGATAGATAGATAGATAGATAGATAGATAGATAGATAGATAGATAGATATGAACAGGCAAGGATAGATAGATAGATAGATAGATAGATAGATAGATAGATAGATATGAACAGGCAAGGATAGATAGATAGATAGATAGATAGATAGATAGATAATGAACAGGCAAGGATAGATAGATAGATAGATAGATAGATAGATAGATAGATAGATAGATAGATAGAGATAGATAGATAGATAGATAGATAGATAGATAGATAGAGATAGGCAAGGATAGATAGATACGAATAGGCAAGGATAGATAGATATATAGATAGATAGATAAGAACAGGATAGATAGATATGAATAGGATATATATATATATATATATAGATAGATAGATAGATAGATAGATAGATAGATAGATAGATAGATTGAATGAATGAAAATGTGGGAAAAATTATAAGTTAACGAGTTTCGAGCACCAAAAGAACTTCATTGAATCAAAGTGTTCATTCACTAACTGACATTGTTCTGATATATAAAAAAATATTCATCATATTCTCTCATAGATAGATAGATAGATAGATAGATAGATAGATAGATAGATAGATCTGGACATAGGTAATCTGCTTTCTTCCATATATTGGCGTTTCTGTCATGTTATATATATATATATATATATATATATATATATATATAGATAGATAGATAGATAGATAGATAGATAGATAGATCTGAACATAGGTAATCTGCTTTCTTCCATATATTGGCGTTTTTCTGTCATATATATATATATATATATATATATATATATATATATATATATATATATATATATATATATATATATAGCTAGCTAGCTAGCTAGATAGATAGATAGATACTGAGCACAGATAGATAGATAGATAGATAGATAGATAGATAGATAGATAGATAGGTAGATAGATACTGAGCACAGATAGATAGATAGATAGATAGATAGATAGATAGATAGATAGATAGATAGATAGATCTGAACATAGATAATCTGCTTTCTTCCGTCTAATGGCGTGTCTGTCATACTATCTTACCCCTTCTAATTAGCCTGATTTGTACAAATGCACACACCTGTCCTGTTTAATCTGTTCTTCGATAACTCGATTTTAATTCCTCGTTTATTTTAGGATCCTCGTTGCATTGTTTATATGTCATCTCTCTGTGAAAAGGTGTGTGCCAGATATTGCTTTTCTCTCCACCCAGACCGATCTCCGTGTATGCCTTTTGTTTCCAAAGAAAAAAGTTGTTGGATTTCATTACAATAGAATGAATGAAAATCTGTAAACGAATTGAAAGGCGGAGTTTAAAACAAGGGAAAATAAATACGTGACAAAAGTGAAAGAAAACTGTGGAATTAAAGGAGTTTAAATAAAAGATAACGGAATCAGACAGAATCAGACGGTGTTTATTTGGAGAAAACAAAATGGAGGGAAAATAAGAAGAAAGTAAAATGTCATGTTGAAGAAGATAGAAAAAAAAAGAAAGAAAGAAGAAAGACAGATAGAAAGAAAGAAACAAAATCAAAAGATTAGCCAAAAACAAGATGGCATATCGAAGAAGAAAAAATAGAAAGAAAAAAAAAGAACGTAATAAACAAAAAAAAAAAGATAAACCAAAAAAATAAATAAATAAATAAAATGGCAGTTCGAAGAAGAAAATCATAAAATGAAATAAAGAATAAAAAATAAACGGCGAAAGAAAGAAATCAAGAAACAAAGTAAGCAATAAACAATGCGAGAAAGAAAAAAGGAAAACAGAACAATATATCAAGAAAGAGAGAAAGCAAATAAGAAAAGAGGAATTATGAAGGAGATCAGGGAAGGAATTAAGAAAGAAAGGACAAGGAAGAAGAACATAAACAAAAATAGAACCAAAGAAAAAAAGAAAGAAATCAATAAATAAAGAAAGAAGAAGAAAAAAGAAAGAACGAAGAAATATGAATAAAGATGAGAGAGAAAGAATAAAAATGAAGAAAAAGAAAGAAGGAAATAAATCAATAATGAACGAAAGAAAGAAAAATAAAAAAGACAAAGGAATGTGTAAAATAAAGAAACAAACAAAAACGAATAAAAAAAGAAAAATTCGGGAACAAAGAAAAAAGAAAATGAAATTCAAACAGGATACAATAATAATAATAATAATAATAATAATAATAATAATAATGTTATCTTTACAACGAAATATAAGAAATCTAAAAATACGCCAAATGATGTAATTAGAAAGAAAGTCTTTTAAAGGAGAAAGTCGAGAGAAACATAAAATGTAAGAGAAAGGGAAAAAAAGAGGTAAAAGAGAAGAATATCTAATTGAAGAGACGATGAATAAAATTTGTATTTATAGATTAAATCATTCCGCTACGCTTCGATTTCATGTCGTCATCGTCGTCGTTGTGAATTCAATGTCGCTTATTGTCTTGAAGGATGCATAACATGACGGAAGATGGCGGCAGGAAGAGAAAAAATGGCGACGACACCTTCGTCGACTTGATGAAGTAGAAAGAGATCGGTTTATTTTGAGTTACGTTTTTATGTTAGTGCACGCTCCTTTTGTTGCCTTTGCCATTTGAAGAGATTAAGTGTTAGATACACATTGCATTTGCTTGGCTATTGGCTACCTTAAGGCAAAGAAATTTTGTTTTGCTGAGAAACCTTTTTTTAACTTAATCTATCTATTTCAGTATGGTCATATCTATCTATCTATCTATCTATCTATCTATCTATCTATCTATCTATCTATCTATTTTAGTAGGGTCATATCTATCTATCTATCTATCTATCTATCTATCTATCTATCTATTTTAGTATGGTCAGATCTATCTATATATATAATATGACAGACACGCTAATATATGACAGACAATATATGGAAGAAAGCAGATTATCTATGTTCAGATCTATCTATCTATCTATCTTCACATCTATGTATCTATGAGAGAATATTATTACTATTTTTTATATATCAGAACAATCTCACTTTAGTGAATGAACACTTTAACACTCTGATATTTTTTTTGCAAAAACGTTTTCCTGGTAATAATTTTTCTTTAAAATTTTATTGCTTGTAATATTTTTATTAACAATAATTTTTTAATAATAATTGTTTAAAAATAATAACTTTTTACAAGTATTTCTGGTATTAAAACCTATTTTGACACTTTCATAGTGTTTTGACCACAATTTGGGACCCTAACAGATGCTACCACCCCGGGCCAGAGTGAACCTGAGAACACCTGCAATTAAGAAGTAGTTCCACGCTGCTCAAAACCTCCTCGTCAAAGGCCTTGCTGTTGGACGTAATTTATCGTCTTACACAGGACGCGGATGTAATTCATCGTCATACCCAGGACGACAGGAAGTTGTCGAGAGCCATAATCGTCCAGCTTCTAAGATATACATTGTTATACGTTTTAAAGAAAACTCCCTGACGCCAATTACCTTACGCGTCTTAAGTGTTCTACCTAATGGCTGGAAGGTAGGTGGGATTATATTGAGGGCAGGTGATTTCCACAGAACGCAGTGGAAGGAAGTACCATGGCTTTCTAGTTGTCCTTCACAACCGCAAACGAGTAATTACTCGTGACATTTAATAAATGTAAAAATATAGAAGAGGACACAAATACACGATGTAATTAATTGCTGTAGACGAAGAGATTTTGACAGAAAGGCCCAGACGCGACAAGATACAAATTCGATGGTGGGAAGGGTTGTCACAGGCGAAAATAAGGATGTTTTACCCTTTAAACAAGTAGTCATCTTCCTGTGTGTCTCTTTTATTTAGGGTGTCGGGATTGGTTGGGACGAAAAATCTTTTTGACACATTTTAACAATTTGTCTCGATTTAATTTGCTTTTTTTTCCTTCCTTCATTTTTTGTGTAACTTCTTCCGTATTTTTTTTATATTAGTCTTAATTATTTCATTTTTTCATTTTTCCTTCCTTTTCTTTATGTGGATGTGCAGTGGTGAAGTGGATAACGGCACGAAACCAGAAAGCAGAGTTCGAATTCAATGGGCTTTGTTACATTCACTTACCCGTAAATAACTTTAGGAAAGGTAAGAATGCAGTTTTTCTCCCCTCAGTTGTGGTTAAAGAGCAAAATAGATTGGGTCCTATTGCCTTGGATGTCAATTGGTCTAGAATGACAATTTGATTTAACTTATTTTTTTTATGGCACATCAACTCCTTACGACGGAGTAATGGGTTCAATCCTCAAAAGCCGTCGTATACACTCAGCCATAATTACTAGAGGTCGTGATTTATGTTTTAGTTGAAGTTATATTTTGGAATACAGTTTCTTTAAGGAATTGTAGAATATTATATGGATTGATATCATGTAAGAGTTCTTTCATGTTAGTTGATTTTGTTTATCGGCATATCAACATCTCTATAGGTTAATGAATACAGAAATGTAAATATTTTGAACACAATTTTATACCTTCAACTAAATATATTCTGCAAGCAATTGTATGCCTTCAACAACAAATACTCCTTTTCTTTATGTAGATGTGCAGTGATGAAATGAATAACGGCTCGAATCCAGAAAGCAGAGTTCGAATTCAATGGGGTCCTTTACATTCACTTACACGTAAATAACCTTAGGGAAGGTATGAATGCAGCTTTTCTCCCCTCAGTTGTGGGTAAAGAGCAAAACAGATTGGGTCCTATTGCCTTGGATGTCAACTGGTCTAGAAGGACAATTTGATTTGATTTATTTGTTTAAAGGTACATCAACTTCTTATGGGTAATTTAATGACAAAATTTAATTTTCTTTGGAGCTTTAATGAGATAAAAATATCATATATATATATTATTATGCTTTCACAACTGAATACATGGTAGATGATACTCTGCTTTTGTACATATAAATGTTTGTGCGGATATAATTACTAGCGGCGGTGATATATATTTTAGTTTTCTTGTAGTTATGTTTTGAATAAGATATTGTAGGATATTATATGGAATAATATCATTAAAGATTTCTTTCATATTTGTTGTTTGGTCGATTTTGTTTAGCGGTATATCGACCTCTATTAGTTTTTTAATGACGTAATCTAAATAATTTCAACAAAATATATTTTGAACGTTACTGCATGCCTTCAACCGCAAAGAAAATGTATTGTTGGTAATTTTATTATAATTAGGTAAATTGTTGGTAAATTTTTGTATAAAAATATATTGCCAGTAATTTTATTATGAAAATGTAATTTTATATTTTCGTAGTGTTTTATTTTTGTTTGAGTGTTCAATTTTCACCCATAGCTGGGATACTAACAGGTGCTACTATGGATTTGGTAACAACAGAAATTATACATACATATATATATATATATATATATATATATATATATATATATATATATATATATATATTATTTTTATAGAATGATTACAATTAATAGTAAAATATGAATATGTGTGTTTATTTTTTCAATTTCATGCACAGAAATTTTTAAACATTATATACCTTTGTTAAAGTAAAGGAATCTTTTTAGTATCTAAGTTATACCAATAGTATATTTTGTTAAAGATTGTAATGAGCCCGACAAGCGTTGATGACCTAGAGTCGCTCCTGGTGTTTCCATGCTCCTCAAAACCCCCAATCTCTTGATCAGAGGTCTTGCTGCTGGATGTAGTTTATCGTCATATCCAGAACTAAGAAGGAAAATTGTGTATTCAAAAAGGTCGAACATCAGTGACTAAACAGCCCCCCCCCTCATCAGACCACGCTCAGAAAATTGTCATGATACTTCAATCTGATGTAAAAATTAATAAGTTTGTCTCGATAGATCAATTACGGCTGAGTAGTGACTTCTATATTCACTGGGTGGCCCATACTTTCGGCCTTGCGTCATATCTAAGCTACGCTTAGAAGAACCCTTGGGGCACATCGACGGGGTGTAATGGTTAACAAACTTGTCTTGTCAATTACGACTGAGTATTGAGTTCGATCTTCACTGCATTAGGCCTTGTAATCTACGCTTAGAAAATCCCCTAGGGCACTTATGACCTGTGCGTACCAAATTTTCTAAGGTCTGTTTCCTCATTTTCTCTGCTCTTTATGAAAAGTGGTGTAATGGTTAGCAAGCTTGTCTCTCTAGGTTACGACTGAATAATGGGTTCGAACCTCACTCCGTGCCCCATAATTGCGGCCTTGTGCCCTATATAAACTACGCTTAGAAAATGACCATAGAAATCGTCCTATACACAAGTAAATCATTGCAAATAACGGTGACTATATAATAATGATAATAATAATAATGCAAATAACGGTGACTATATAATAATGATAATAATAATAATGCAAATAACGGTGACTATATAATAATAATATAATATTTATTATTTGCATGTCAACTAGTCTTCATCTTTGTTGTTAATATCACTACGTTTCAGCCGTTGTGTCTTCCGGACTTCATCAGGTACTTTGGATAAATTTTTCGTTCCACAGACGATGTTTAGGCTTATCTCCTTTCGTCGTCTGCTTTATCTCGTTTCCAATAATTTAATTTATTCTTTGCTATTCGCTTCCTTTATGATGATAGCGTTCATGACTAAATTTGCCGCCATTTTCTAGGTTCAGGATTACAAGCATCTAGCCTCAACAAAACTTGCTTTCATTGTCCGTTCCCAATCGCTGTGCAAGCGATGACTGAAGGTGAAAGAAAATCAGGATAGAAGAAACTGCCGATCCCGTGAATTTGTTTAAGATGGACCTCAACTTGCCAGGAAGTGACCAACATACTTGATATCGTCACCTTCCTCAACGGCACATATGGAATGAGACATCCTGTTATGAAACTGCAACGTACGGCCGTTGACTGTTACAATTTCGAGTAACGCCTTCTGTATCATGTCCGCCATGCGTAGCCCTCTTCAACCGCTGGTACAAACGTTCAGATCTGTTGTAATCGTGATTTGCTTGTTCCACCATTGTGGTCTTGCGATTGGTCGTGCTTTGTCTGGTTCCTAGTTATCTCCTCTTGTTCTTATTTAATATTGCTGTAAATAAAACTATTCACCCAAACTTTCACTGAGTCAGCACAGCCTGGCCCAGGGATTGAACTCACAATTAATATAACCGAAAATTATTTTTTCCTTGTATATTTCATTATAAGGTAAAAATAAAAAATAAATGAATATTTCAAATTCACAATCCACACAATAAAATCTTTATAATGATCCATTGAAATGTCCTCATAATATAAAGTGTAGAGGTTTATCTCTTGTTTCCTGCTAAAGGGTTTCCGCTTTATTTATTCTATTTCTGGTGCACCCTTGCGTCTTGGTAGCATTATCTCCTTGCTTGGGGTGCTGCCTTTCTGCAATCCTTCCCCTAGAAGGTCTCTTGGGCCTTGTACAGAGTGAACATCATTGTAAATAAATTTTTTAAAAAAATGAATACAAAATGAGTACGAAACGAAATCGCACTTTCAAATGCCACTCATTGTAAAATGCTACGAACTTCTTTTCTCCAATACGAAGATATCTTGTCAGTTTTCAAAGATGTGACAATGTCGGGCAGCTCGATGACTGGGTAGATGAAAAATGTTTAGCTTTTAATATT